TTTCCTACTTCTCACACCAAGAACCAATTTTCAGTCTTACACTGGAAAGTACAGTATTGAGGAGTGATGGCTCCTATTAGTCAGCTATGTCTGAATGGAGTTTTTCTTTAAAAAGATAGTTATTTAAAAAAATATTGATTTTAATTTAAAGAGATCAGGGAAAGGGTTCCCTATACTTTTAAATCTTCCACAGGAAGCTGTAGTTGAAAAAAAAATCATTTTTCTCAGTTACTTTTATATCCCTTTACTCAGTTTATTCAGAAATTCTGCAGTCAGTAAAAGAGACAGTGAAGATTGTTGAAAAAATTAGAGTTAACGCATATAACAGCATAGTTTTTGACTTTATAAATAGCAGGTGTACAATAAATGTCAGTTCTTCCTTCCCTTCCAGACCCCTCAAATTATTCATGCTCTCAGTAACTTCACAATTAGTTGGCTCTCATTGAGCTGGATCATAAGGGCCTCGGTAGGTATTTCCCCCTTGCAAACAACAAACAAACAAAAAAAGGAAAAAAATCTCATCTCCCGACTTCAATTAGCCTTGGAGGCTCTCAGGCCCCCTTGTCAGCTGTAATTCCAAGGTTATAGATTACGCAATCATTTTATTTAAACAACATTCCCAAAGTTTCAGTAAACTCACACTCTGATTTGACGAATAGGTCCGTATTTCCCAAATATATCATACATTTCTTCAGCTGTGATTTTGTAAGGCAAATTTCTTATATACAAAATCCGATTTACTTCAGGTGGAAGTCGAATCTGAAATGAGAAACATGTATTGTCATTATAATTAGGAGAAAGAATGCTACCATTTAAAAAAACTCATAGTGAACAAGAAATTCTCATAATAAAAAATAATAAACAAAAAAAGCCAAGACTAAAAATTATAACCTGCTATACTGAAAATGGCATACTCTTTGGAAAAGCAACTAGGCACTGATTATAGGGAAGTCTATTAGTAGGAATAAGGGGCTACTACAAAACCCAGGCTTTCAGTCAATGCCTTTATCATTTATTTAGATTTGATTGCCAATACGACTGGTTTCTTTTATTTCTCAGGTGAGCAGTTTGCTTATGTACTGCCACCACGACAGAAAACAGGCTGGAGACCCAGCCTGCAACCCAGGCATGTGCCCTTGACCAGAGTCGAACCCGGGACCTTAAGTCCACAGGCCAACACTCTATCCACTGAGCCAAACCGGCTAGGGCTACTGAGCACCTTCTTTACATATACACCAGGATAGTAGTGTTAGGGTTACACAGTGAGGGAGGGAAGACAAAGTTTCTGCATTCCCCAGACTCAGTAGCTCTCTATTATTCTATCTTGCTCTCTTTTTCTTCTTCAGTCAAGCATCCGGAAAGAGGAAGGCTACAGTTACTGCCTCATACACTACTTCACTGAGACTCACCAGTGTGCCACCATGTAGCTTCCAACCCAACACGCTGATGGGAGTGCTTCTACTCACTAACACTTTGTACTTGCAGCGTCCAATTCACATCACACTTAACTTCCCAGAGCCTCTGGCACTATTGTCTATGACCTGCTTGATACTATTTCCTTGGCTTTCTCCTAACTCTCTGGCTAGTTAGTTCTTCTCAGTCTTTTTTGCCATTAAAATATGCTTTTCCACGGAGTTTTATCTTTAGACTTCTTGTCTCGACCCTTCATGTACCCCCCCAAACTCTACACAGTCTCTTCACCACACACAGGATTTCCACATTGAGTGGATGACTCTCAAATGTGTATACCCCACCAGATTCTGTGCTCCTTATGAACAGTTACGTAATAGTCATTAATTTGCTCACTACTTATTAAATTGGCAACTATGTCAGGCGCTAAGCTGTGCTGTATAAATCCAAGAATAATATACCTATTCCCTGCCCTCAATCTAGTAGCGGTGACGAGTGCTACACAAGTACAATAAAGTCTAGATTTTAAGATTCAAGGATAAGTTCAAACAGATGATCAACACTGTCCATCACATAGACTCCCCTAGTAAATCTGCTTTGTCCAACTGCAAGCCACTAAATCACACTCTCTTCTCTCCTCCCACTCTCCACCACCACCCCCTCTAGTGTCTGAGCTGGGCTGGGCATTCTCCCCCCTGCCCGTCCTGAGAGAGGACCGTGGCTCTTGCTTACTGGGAAAAACAGGCATGACCAAATGGTGAACACTTTACATTCACCTTACCAACCCTGCCCACCCACATTCATCCATATGCACCCACTTTGCCTCTCAGTACCGAGCCACCCCCTCATCCACTCCAAACCGCCTGAACCTAACCCATCTTCCTCCTCCACCATCCGTGTCTCCCACTTACTAGGCCATCGTCCCCACTGGCGTACAAAGACACCGTATGCCACACATCTCAAAGCGGAAAAGCCAGCCATCACCTAACTCACCTTCTCCCTGTCCACATGCAAACCTGTGGAAGGAACTGCCTCCACTTTCTTAACCTCCATCCTCGATGTCATCCCTCCGCTGTTTTCACCCACGGAAGTGAAAATCAACCAAGTCACCCAAAGTCTCCATTATGTCCTCATCTTACTATACCTTTCAGCACCTTAGAGTTGAACACTTTTTTGAGATTCTTTTTTTTTTTTTTTAGGGTTCCATAACGCCCCCCTCTCTCACGTAAGGATGTAAGCAGCCGGGCTTTTTGTTTTATTCACCGCTGCATCTCCAATACCTAGACTTGTGTCTCGCACCTGGTAGCTTTTCAGTTACTATAACTGATGAATTGTCTCCTATCTCGCAAGTCTGGTACATTGTAGCTGCTTAAAAATGTTGTTGAATTAAAACGGGAAGGATCCGCCCAGCCGGGTAGCTTAGCTGGTTACAGCGCCATCCCAAAACCCCGAGGAAAGATCGCGGGTTCTGCCTCCGGTCGGGGCACATACAAGTTTCAAACAGGACAGCATAGGAAGGTGGAACAACAAGTCCATGTTTCTTTCTCTCCCCCGCTCCTCCCCTCCCCAAAATCAATGAAATACGTAAAAAATTAAATTAAAAAACCCATGAAGGGTCCAAAGAGCTCCGTGATGAGAAGACTCTCAGGCTCCCGTCGCCCGTTGGCCATTAGGTTATTTATTGGGGACTTATCTGTGCTATTGGCCTTTAAGCCGGGAAGATGCAGACGCCAGGCTGAAGGCGAAGCTACAAAGGCTGTCGGGCTAACGCTATCGCTGACACTAGAAAGGGACGGAAGGAAAACTCCCCAAAGGGGTGGGGGCGGGGATGCGGCTCGAGGAGCAGGCCAGGCTGAACTCCCCTCCGACAGCACGGTAACGTCTGGCTTCCCCGCCCTGGGGACGGACAAGGGCCGGGAAGGCCCTGATCCACGCCGCCGCGAGTCCACAGCGAGTCCTTCCCTCCTCGGCAGACATCCCCGTTACTTACGTTCGCCCTCTTAGCCGCTTGCATCGCCATCTTGGCGGGCTGATGAGATTACCGCGGCAGATACTAGAATTCCCCTTATTCCTCCGCAGCTCGCTCAGCTTCCAGCTCAACACGGCCTCAGATGCGGGACATCAACACTCAGGCTCCGCCGGAAGCGGCTGTAACGCGCAGGAACACCGCCGTCTCTCGCGCAGACGTGCTGACGCAGTGTCCCCTTTCGAAAAGACTCCGGGCAAAATAACCCCCAGTCTGCAAGGAGGCCGGAAGGTTGAAAGGCGAGGGCCCGAGGCGCTTCCGGGAACCGCACTGAAGGGGGCGGAGCCTGGGCTTCAGAAGGGGCGGTGTTCCTGTCAGGCTGGCCCTGAGCGGAGGAAGTTGGCGGAGGGGGCGGGACCTGAGGAGAGCGACTAGAGCTGGGGCTGTTCGCAGGTGCCTTCTGGAAGGGGGCTGTTGGGGTCCAGTCCCAGCAGGTCCAGGGGTTCCCAAAGGTGTGGACTGAGTCGGAGAAGGAGGAATGACACGGAGGCAGCGTTCCGTTGATCAGCAGCCTAGCCAGGTCCCCTCGCCAGGTTCTCCAGCCAGGTTCTGTGTTTTATTGTCTTGTTACATCTGTATTTATACCAGTTGATTTTAATCCTGTCAATTTCTATTCCAAAGGTTAGGGCATTTCTTATCTCCATTCCAGGGTGTAAAGATTATGTAGCTTAAGTGTGATTGTTCGTAGTTAAAGTGATTAACTACCCGCCTGGCACTTAGTTAAGGGGTTTTATCCCCTCCCTAACTTCAGGGAAAAATCCCTACCTGGGGAAACAACCTTTCTCGGAGAGGTGACCTTGGTTAAAACACATAGCTCCAGGAAGGGGAGCAAACATATTAAGAACAGTATGCCATATACGCTAGGTCCCTTGAAACATATGCTGTGCACGTATCTTCCCTGCAGCAACTGTGTCAAGCAGCAAGGATGGACCAGCTTCCGGAAGGGGGCGGGCAGGACTGAATTACCTGGCTGCAGGGGTGCAGCGTTAGGGGATGTGTGTGGGTCCCGGGCCCCTGGCAGTGCTACAGGGTTCTGTCTCTGTGGAACCCTGGCACAGCCCTGGAGCTGAGCATCTGCTGACCTGGCTTCTCCT